ACAGTGAAAAGAGATTTCCATCCCAAAATAATAGAAAACACTTCTCTAGTGCACATGGAACTCCAGATCATATGCCAGGACATAAAACATGTCTCAGAAAATATATGAAAATAGAAATTATAGCAAGCATCCTCACAGACCATAATGCTATAAAACTAGAAAATAACCACAAAAAAGAACTGGAATAAACCAAAACATGTGGAAACTAATCAAAATGCTTCTGAACAACTCCTGGGTCAATGAAGAAATCAAAGAGCACAAAAAGTATCCAGAGACAAGTTACCAGACTCTTTGGGATGCTCTAAAAGCAATACTAGATGGGAAGTTTATAGCAATGAAGTCCCATTTAAAAAAAAACAAAAACAAAAACAAAGAAAAATCTCAAACAATCTAACTCTGCAGCTGAAGGAACTAGAAGAAGAACAAAAGCACCCAATGCCAGTAGAAGGAAAGGAATAAAAATCTGAGCAGAAATAATTGAAATAGAAAAAAAGACAGTCCAAAAGGCCAGTGAAACCACAAGTTGGTTCTTTGAAAAAATAAACAAAATTAACAACCATGAGGTAAGCTTATAAAGAGCGAAAACACAAATAAATATAATCAGAAATGAAAGAGGTAACATTATAAAAGATACAGCAGAAATACATAGGATTATAAGGAACTATTACAAAAGTCTCTAGAAAAACTGGATGACCTAGGAGAAATGGGCGAATTTTAAGACTGATACAACCTCTCAAGAATGAATTAGGATGAAACAGACAGCTTAGGGCCTCCCCGGTGGCGCAGCGGTTGAGTGCTGGGTTACGAAGCTGCGCGCAGCCTCTGCAGCGCCGGTTCGATCCCTGGCTGCTCCCCGGCCACCGGAGGAGGGTCCCACATGGCGCGCAGACCTCTCCTGCCGCCCGCTGCTCCCCTCAGCAGTGTACTTCGGTCCTTCTGCCTGCTCTGCTCCCCGCTCTGGCTCTGGTGTATTCTCTCACCCTCCCGCGCTTCTGACTGTACCCAGTGCATGTATAAACAAAAAACAAACAAACAAATAAAATAAATAAAGCATGCCTCTAATAAAAAAAAAAAAAAAAAAAGAAACAGACAGCTTAAAGAGTACAATCACAAGCTCCCGAACTAAAAGAGTAATAAAAAATTTCCCCAAGAACAAAAGGTCAGGACCAGATTGGTTTCTCCACCAAATTCAACCAAACCTTCAAAGATGATCTACTATCTATCTTATTACAACTCTTCAAAAAATCAAAGAGTGGGGGAATATCCCAATACATTCTATGAGACCAACATTACCATGATACCAAAACAAAACAAAGGCAGTAGAAAAAAAGAAAATTACAGACCAATATCTGTGATGAACATAGATGCAAAAATCCTGAACAAAGTCCTAGCAAACCAAATACAGCAACATATCAAGAGAATTGTCCACCACCATCAAGTAGGCTTCATCCTAGAGAAATAAGGTTGTTTCAACATATGCAAATCATTGTCATTCATCATATCTACTAAAAGGAAGTAAAAACGACACGGACATCTCAACAGATGCCATACAAGATTTGACAAGATTCAACACCTATGTATGAGGGAAAAAAAAAAAAACAACACTCAATAAAATGGAAATAAATGGAATTTATCTAAACATTATAAAAGCAAAACCTGCAGCATATGTCCTACTCAATGGTGAAAAGCAAAGCTGAAAGCATTCAAACTATCAGGTACAAGACAAGGATGTCCACTAACAACATTACTATTCAACACAGTATTCTAAGTCCTACCTGAAGCAATTAAGCAAGAAAAAGACATAAAAGGAATCCAAATTGGAAAAGAAGTAAACTGTAGCTATTTTCAGATGACATGTTAATATACTTATAGAAAGCAAAAGAGTCTACCAAAAAACTAAGAAGTAATAAATGAATACAGTAAAGTGACAGGATACAAAATAAGTACACAAAATCAGTTGCATTTCTATATACAATGTATCAAAAGAAAAGGAAATAAAGAATACAATCCCATTTACAATCATCCCAAAAAAGAATGAAATTCCTGGGAGTAAACCTAACAAATGAGGTAAATGACTTGCATATGGAAAACAACAACACTCTGTTAAAGGAAATAAAAAATGACACATAGAAATGGAAAGATATTCCATGCACATGGACTGGAAGAATTAACATTATTAAAATGGCCACATTACCCAAAGCAATTTGCAGATTCAATGCAATAGCTAATCAAAATACCGATGACTTTTTTCCAAGGAAATGGAACAATTATAAAATTTATATGGAACCACAATGGGCCGCAAATAGCTAAAGCAATCCTGAGAGGAAAAAAAAATGGAGATAGCAACTTCCTAACTTCAAACTATTATTATACAGCAAGCAACAACAATGACAACAGTATGTTTCTGGAACAAAACAGAAACTCAGACCAGTGAAGAATAATTAAAAGCCCAGAAATAAACCCACACAAAAATGGACAGCTAATCTTTGACAAAAAGAGCTATGACCATACAACGGAGAAAAAATAGCCACTTTAAAATAAACAGTGTAGGGAACCATGGATAGATACACACACAAAAATGAAATAAGATGCATACTTAACTCCATACACAAATATTAATTCAAAAGGTAATAAAGATGTGAATATAAGAACCAAAACCATATTGTACTAGAAAGAAAATAAATAAAGGGGACATAATACATCTACCACAAAGATGTAATTGGGACTCAACTCCAAGGGCAAGGGAAACAAAAGCAAAAACACAAAACACACACGCACACACACAAAAAACAATTGGGACTATATGAAATTAAAAAGGGTTTTCAAAAGAAAACCATCACTAAAACCAAAAGGCAACATACAGAATTAGGAAAAAATATTTGCACATCATACATCTGACAAGGGGCTTATCTTCAAAATGTACAAAGTTCTTACACAATCCAACAACAAAAAAACCAATCTGATCAAAAAATAGCAAAGGACCTAAACAGACACTCTTTTAAAAAAGACATTCAGAAAGACTAGACATGAAAAATTGTTCTACATCACTATTACAAGGGAAATGCCAATCAAAACCACAATGAGATGTCACATTAGCCCTGTGAGAATGGCCCATACAAAAAACAATGGAATCAAAAATGGTTGGCAAGGTTTTGGTGAAAAAGGAACTCTTACTCACTGTGGTGGAAATACAAGTTGTTAGAGTCCCTGTGGAAAACGTTATGATTTCTTGGGAAAATAAAAATGGAAATTTTGTATAATCCAGCAATACCTCTATTAGATATTTCCCAAATATAATGAAAACTCTAATAAAAACTATTTATGCCTACATACATAACAGCACTGTCCACAATCGCCAAACTATGGAATCAACCTAAGTGCCCTTCAACAACTGATAAAGTTGTGGAATATATACTCAATGGAATACTACAGTGAAGAAAGAATAAATAATGGCATCTGGGACAAAATGGATAAATCTTAAGCTGATTAAATACGTAAAAAATGAACGACAGCTATCAGTGGCATATATATAACCAAAAACATACACAGACAAAATATAGCAGTAATAAATCTTGAACTCAGTGACAGAATATAATGGTTACCAGAGAGAACAGGTGGTTTGGTGTAGGGTGAATGGAGGTTATGCACATATGGAAGAGCAAAAATATAACCACAGAAATTAAAAAAAGTCTATATAGGCATAAGCTTACAATATAACAGCAAATGCTGTCACCAAACTAGAGTCAAATGGCAAAGTGAAAGTCAAAGAATGAATCTTTAGGTTACAGAAGATGAAACCTTAGGAGAGGATGTATATGACAAATCAAGACCAAAAGTCTCTGAACACTGGTCAGTTTATTTTAAAGCCTGTCATGTCTGCCCAAGAGAGACTATTCTCCGAAGGGTCAGCAGTAGTCATTGACTTGGAGAAGGAGAAAATTCATACCAGCAGTTACACATTATGTCCTGCTTCTTAATCTTGTGTACACATAAAGGGACTGTTTGGCATCTGATATCTCTTTGATTTGGAATCACACAACATGGTAAGGGAAATCCAGCTAAAGAATGGCTCCCTCTATTCTTAAACAACCAGCATGTTTATATCATAGAACAGAACCCTATGTCTTTGATGTTTCTGACAAGTTCTGTTCTAATACTTGGGCCAATATGAGAGGTTTCTGGTATTGCAGTGAAAATTAGATCCTCTGAAATTCCATTTTATTTATCATAAACTCTTCCGGAGTCTTAGGGGTTAAGTTTTATGGAGGTTTACTTAGGAATGCTATGAGGGCTGCTTAGGCACTAATGGAGAAGGATTTTGATTTCTCTTGTTGGGGACACAAGTTGCTTACTAGCCTGGTTTTTGGTGCTGTCACTTTATATTCACTAGACAATTCAGCAAAATAGCACAAGGTCCACTAATAACATCCAGAAGGGAGCAATGAAGATCAAGTCACAGGTAGTTCAGTCTTCAGAAGTTAAAGAGGCTCTGATGTGGACTTTTCTGAGAAGAATAGAATGAGGGCTCTAAACTGTTTACCCAGATAGGAGTGGAACATGTTTTTGTATACTGGATGTGCCTGGCTCTAGGGAATGACAGACTCTTACATGGCATCTACTCACTGTAGGTCCTCAAAACAAGTCTGGTGAGTTAATAAAGACCACAATCCATCAAAAAAATCAGCTTAGTTACATGCAAGAAAAGAACACCAAGCCTTTTCCAGGTTGCTTTATTCTTCTTTGTTACTGAGGAATTCTCACTTCTACTATTCCCTTACTAAGAAGCATGTTGCATTCATTTAATTTAATTTTTTATATTTTTTAATTTTTTTAACTTTTATATTCTCCAAACAATTGCACCCCCCTTATTTTGACCCCAAACCCTCCTTTCCCTGCCCCCCTCCATAGTGTGTCTCTGGGTCATAGTTGTTTGTTGATTTTGATTTTTGCTTTCTTATAGTTATTCTTTTGCATTATTTTAAACAAGAAGAAATTCCTAGATTAGTTAAAAAAAAAAAGGTCTCAGAATGGACAGACTTGTAATTTATTTCAGTTATTTCCAAGCGGCAGTTACAAAAGTTTTTAATTTTTATAATACTCTTGATAAGAAAATAAAATTTAAATAAAAATACATTCTCAACAATACAACATGGTTACACAAATTCACTACATTAAGTTTTGATAACTTACAATTTCAAACTGGACAATGTAAAAACCAATATTTACTAGTACCAGGATGAGTCCCAAGTTAATAAAAATGGAAGCAGAAAACAGCAAGCCAAACTAGTAGTTTAACTCTAGAATGAGTCCTGTACATTTCACATTGTGTAAGATGCTGAAAATTTTCTTCTCTTCAGTTTTATTAGGGTGTACCATTAGAGCAAATTATAGGTGCTTTTACTTTAAAAAAAGTTTTCTAAAGCCATTGTGTGAGGGAATCTGCTAAATGAGAAAGACTTGGTTTTAAAAACAGAAACTCAAAATCCCCTGTGTCACCTATTTTTTTTGTATAATAATAATAAGAAAAGCCTCGTATGATACTTAAACATTACCTGTGATATTATAAACATATTTCTTTGGCAAATAAAATAGTTAAAATTTGAGAAATTATATTTCTGGGAGTAAAAATTTTGCTATTGCCCATCATTTTATTAAATGAATTATCAAAAAAACAATGCTAAGCAAAAAACGGAAACAACAAAAGTCACAGATGACTGTCATTTCAACTGATGGAAATGGCTAAAATAAAAAGAACTGGCATTTATGAGTTTCTCCATATTAAGCTTATCTTTCCCTCTTGGGGTTTTCAGGTTTTTATGGAAAAGTAGTAAAAATCAAAGTATTCAAAAGGAAGGAGGAAGTATTCAAAATTCTAGGAGGAAGGCCCCTAGAAAAACCTGATTATCTTATGGTCATACTGACACAGACTGTTGTTTCAAAAGTCTTTCAAAGAAAATTAAACTTAATTTCACAATACTCCTTTTCGATGTGCTAAGTTGGTTAATTTTGGTCAAACTGGCAGTTTAAAAGTGTCAAAGTGAGAAAATAACTACATAAATAAACCCTTTCTTTAAATTCAGTTATGTACTCACACAGCATTAGTCCTCTTAGTAACGCAGTAATCTTTAAAAGCAATAGGGGATCTGATATGAGAAAAAATTATAAGAAGTCTTTCTTTTGCCTAAAAAAAAAAAAAAGCCACCTAAGAGTAATGAGTGGTACCTGCAATGCTCCATATTCCTTTCCCTCTTAGAGGGAAATTTCAATCTTAATGAAATTAATGAAAAATTTACTTAATGGCTAAATTCTTTCACATTTGTAACTCTGTGTAGTTCATGGAATATATAATGGTCATAAAATTTAAGACTCTTTCAAACGTGTCCTCAAAAATGGGCCAGGAATACCTATCAAACTGTAGACTAGGGTTGATTCTTGAATAAAATCAATTGATTTTACAAGTCATTTAAAGAAATACATTGTTCAGTTTTATTTATTTATGGAATAACTTTGGTTTTTAAAAATAATTACCTGATAATAATATAACTTAAAAATAATTACAAATAATATAATTGGTAAAGTTATCTTGAAATATAGCTTATGCTGAGGGAAACAAAAGAACTACTAGGTAGACTTACATTAATAAGTCACAGTTTTAAACAGAAATATGTGTAAATACTCCAAGGTTCAAAGTACCACATTTAGAAAATGTTTTCAATTTAAAAAGATAAAATAAGAGTACCATAGTTTTTAATACTGATGAAGCAAAGTGTATCCCTCTTAACTTCAAGGTGGCAACTTGCTTCGAATGCCTATTTACAGTGATAGTTTTTAGAATGAAAGTAATTACAGAAAAACAATATTCAAACAGTTGCTTGTCCAAATTCCATTTGGATAGCAGGCAAAAAGGAAACAGCAGTGAAATATAAACATTTTCAGGAAAGCACTATTTCTAGTCTTAAACACTGATCATTCAACTGATCATAGAGATTAGATACTATGGAGTATCTAAAATATAATCTGGCGGCCAGATTATTAAAGTGCGCCAAGTGACTGTTTTGCAGTTAGTTCTTAACCTCATGCTAGGAGGAAGGGGTCCTTATAGTGGCCCTTATAATAGAATGGAATAACAGGTGGAGTCAAGTGAGTTTCCTCCCACTTTCTTTCACTGTTTACTTTCTCTTCTTTTTCAAAAGAAATGTTCTTAGATATCAAGAACTCTTAAATCAAGAAAGCGAGTACCTACTATTTAAAACAATAAAAATTTAGTGGTCTCAGTTTATTTCATCTGCCATCACTCATCCCAAATGTAAACAAGATGCACACAATAGTACATGTTCCCTGATTCCTTCTACTGAGTTCTGTTTACATCTTTAAGTAGACAAAAAAATCTACCAACATTCAAGGATGCTTTGGCAGTAGCTTGACAGCTTCTGTCATTCCTAATATAGTCTGCAATGACTAATGGACCAATAGTGAAAAAAAAAAAAAACGCTTTTCTTTTGCTGAAGAGGGTATAGATAAACTAAACAGGAAGCTCTGAATTATCATGGATTGGGATTTTCTAGGAAAACACAATGTTGGCAGTGTAGAGCAGGCACTAATGGTAGTGAAAAGTCCATAGAACATGGAGTGTTACAAGAAAAAATGGTTTCCTGCTATGAATTCTCCTTTTGTTACAAAGCTTCTATAGGAAGATTTCTTTCTATTAAAAAGAAGTTGTAGAAACATGGCTTTTAACACATTCTCTAGTAATTCATCAAATTCTCTAGTAATACATCAATACCAGGATTCCCAAACAATTTCAATTATTAAATATTCAATACAATGTGAATACAGGTGACACTGAAGCCAATGTTCATTCTTAAATACTATTAACGAAATAGATTATGATTGAAAACTCCAACAAAAATATTTTCCAATTCCTCTGAATCAATTGGTCAAACTCTAAGATGTTTTTCCAACAATTGGGTTTTCCCTAGAAATAAAAGAAAATCATTAAATGCCTGGCACTATTTGAGAAGCTACTAATGCAACAGTGAACAAAATAGAAAAAAACGCTTGCTCTCAGAGAGCTTACACTCTGATAGAGGAGAAGTAAAATGAACAAATAAAATATTTAGTACAAGAGATTTGTATTTTTTAATAGAGAAAAAGCTGGAAAGGGGTGTACTGTGTGTGGCTCAATGGGAAGGTACTATTTAAGATGGCTGGTAATGCATTGGCTAGGGACTCATATGGGAACTCCCTGGAGTTCTAAGAAAATGGAGTCACTACATTGGAGGAGAACCAATTACACTAATGTAGAATGGACAGGCTCAGGATGTTTACAATAATCTTTCTAATGTATTGATCTACCCAGACAGAAGATGACTATTTATACCTGTGAAACAGATTTTTATTATTCATTAATCACAATTACAATCCACATAATTTTTAAAGAAAATTAAAATGGTGGGGCAGGATTCAAAGTCTCCTCACTAATCAGTTGTATGATCTTGGGCAAGACAGTTAACTTCATTTCAGATTTTCTAGTTGCAAAATGGGCATGAAACCATGTTGGGCTGATGAGGAATCAATGAGAGAGTGTACATTATAGCAAAAACTTAACTGCTGGTTCAAGAACCATCCTCTCCCTATTGACTTTTGTGCAAACAAAACCTTGATTCTGTGCTAACTGGGCAGCTCTGTTATTTCAGAGGAAGAGCTGGAGGTAATTTAGACATGTTGTTTTTTTCTCTGAGCAAGGAAGAAACAGCTCTTTCTGCATCTGGATCATACTATGTAAAACTGTATAATCCACATGTGCCCCCATGAGGGGAGAAGCCTGAGGAAGACATAAATTATCTTGCCATGTTGAAATGCTGAATTAACCAACTATAGAAGCTGGGACTTAATTTGTGAGATAAGAAATGAAGAATATTAATTTGTAATAAAAAATATTACAGATATTTCTTATTGTTTATGCCACTTCAATTGGGCCTTTCTGTTACTTGCTGCTAGTAAGCAATCTTAAGTGATATGAGGAAAAGTACAGCGCCTGGTATAGAGTAAGCACCTAATATATGTTAGCAGTTGCTATTACTATTTACCATAGTATCTGAGATAGATCTAAAAAAATCAACTATAAAATGATCTTAGCACTTTTACTGGTGATTCTTTTTAGTACTTAGTATGGACTGGGCACTGTAGGAGATATAGAAGATCTTACTGTAAAAACAACCCAAAACCAAAAAACTACTAAGTACTCAATTCAATGAGTTACAATGAATTTAAGATCAAACAAGGTGGTAAAGTATGGCACCAACACAATGAAATGACACCAAAACTGAAAAAGGAAAAGAACACTGTGTGGGTGACCAAGGACAGATATACCTGCACAAGAGAAAGCTTCTGATTTGGGTCTTGAAAGGTGAAGCTAAGCAGGAGGCCTGGATTTCAGGTGTGAGTACAAAGTAGTTGAGGCCATCTCAAACTAAGTTTTAAAGTATGTTTAAAGTAGCTCTGAAAATACTTACTTGCTCCCATATTTTGCACTACTTGATCTTTTCTTCCTATACTTTTCATGAGGTTCATCTAGCTTCTCTATGGTGCTTTTTATTTGCTGAATTGTCTTAAAGGTTGTTACAGAATCCTCAATTAGAAAGTTAGAATAATCATCAGGCTCTTTCTGTGGTCCTTGATAGACAGCTATAGTTCCACAAGCCTCTATAAGAAGCAGTAAAATTTTTGATTAGAAAACTAAATTGCAAAATGTAATTTGTAGCACAAATATGAATTTTTCAAGTGTCTCAAACTGAGGAGATGTCCTCTGGCAAAGCATACATAACTAAAATACATACATTTTATTAGTTATGATCATCACACTTAGGTAAAAAAAGTAGTATTTTTACCTCATCAAATCTATGGAAAAAACCCCTTCTGGGAGTCTGTTAGATGAATAACATTTTGGTAAACTTAGGAGTATTTTCAAATTTTAAGATAATGCCAAAGCAATACTTCAGGAATTGGTAATGAAGGATCATTGTTACAAAAAATACTTTAATTATATATTTACCTTCCATTTTTTGCAGCTTAAGTAAACTGAGGGTAAAAAGGGAATAAATTCTTTCTGTTTCTCTGTCTTCATCAATATCTATTTGGATATCGGCAGGGATACCTCTATGATAAAAATGAAATTAAAGACATTGGAATATTTTTACTTTGTTAACATGTGAAAGACTTCCGATGGTCTGAGACTAAAAATAGAACAACAGAATTTTGCAGAAAGAAATTCAGAATGGAATAAAATGAAGTCAAAGAGGTTTGGTTGTTACGTGACTAATCAAAGGGAAGGGAATTTTCAAGTGAATCATTTTAACAGCCTGTATGTTTAATCACAAAAGTCATGGTTCCATACACAGAAAGAGAATGCTAAACTCTTCCTTGATACCACGCTTAACATAGCATATCTAGTTACACATTGCTCCCTTTTTTTAACTTTTGCAACCATTATTTTTATCATTCCAGAAAGAAACCCTGTGTCCATTAGCACTCCTCATTCTGCTCTCTTTCCAGCTCCCCACCAACCAATAAGCTACTTTCTGTCTTTATGGATTCACCTATTCTGAACATGTAATATAAAGGTTATATAGTAAAGGGCCTTTGTGGCTGGTTTCTTTCACTTAGCGTTATTTTCAGGGTTCATCTGTGATGTAGTATGTGTCAGTGTGTCATTCTACTTTATAACCAAGTAATACTGCATTGTATGGATAGATCACATTTAAAACGCTGCTTTTTATTCAGAAAAAAACTTACGCGGTACATGGCTTGCAGCCGAGAGTGTTTTCACTGGTTTCCTGACAGCAGAGCCAGTTTCCATTGAGATATGCAGAAGGATGATAAACACTGAGCCTGTTCTGATTGCATCGGCTCACCCTGCAGAGCACGTCTATCCATTCATTAGCTTCTACACAATTATTTGCCTGGACATAGAGTGGTTTCTCCGTGTGTATTACTTGGAACATCTTCACAGGCAATTAAGATAAAAAAGTTAGAGAGACATTCTAAACATCAATGCACAGTATGAAATATAAATAGGTGCATAACAGAAATGGAGTGCATAATTGCTGCTCAGGTATCCTATGATTGTTATTTTTCAAGTAAGTTAGTCCCAAGGACAATTTCAATCACACGGTATGAATCAGTAAAACAGAATGTAACTTTTAGAAGTCACAAATGTCTAAAGAAAAGGACTATCATATACATAGCACTATAGGAAGGTAAGTTGAGATGGAGGAAAATGTTTGAGCACAGGCAAAGAAGTGGAAAATACCAAGAAAAAAGGAAATCATTTTAGTTGTTATTAGTATATGGTAAGTACAGAATGATAGCAGAAGATAAGGTTGTACAGAATGGTTGGGATTATATTATCTAATAGCTTGAGTGTCCCGTTGACAAATTTGATAATAAGGAAGTAATGAGAAAGTACCTTTAACTTAATAGGCTAAGCAGAGTATATAAGGCATCAATAATAATGGACAATTTTAAAACACAGTTCTCATCAGCAATTTAGAAACAAAATTAATGATTAATGGCTAACACGAAAATAAACAACCACTTAAAATATTCAACTAAGTAACATGTAGTTTTAAAAGCTCTAAATAGTTATGTAACTTACATTTTTCTTGTTGAAAGAGCTCTCTTCCAGTTTTTCCACAGCAAGAATGTTTTTCACTGGAATTGTATAAATTGCATCTTTGCCTAAACAACAAAAGAGGCAGGAAAAAATTAACTTCAATCAGAATTATAAAGGTGAGAGGTTAACTGTGTAAGAGTTAAGCTCATCCTTGATGGTAGGAGTATAAATAACCTACAGATTCCAAATGGCACATATATAAATATTCTTGGTTTTATGGAACAGATGAATTTTCACTGTTTTCTGTATAATGACTTCCTCTTTACCTTTTCCATATGAAATTAAAATATTTTGAAGGAATAATACAGGGAAAAATTTTATCTCTATATAGAAAATAAAAATGTCATATTTTATAACTATATGGGGGCCAAAAGAACCAATATACTTAGTAACAGAGGCCTACTTTTAAAACTTAGTAGAACATAAGTTTTCTTTCATGGAGTTATTACATGAGCAGTGAATCTGACTTACCAAAGTGGGTTTTTCTGCTTTTCTAATCTAGTATTTAATTAAGGCATTAACTCAAAACACTGATTTTATTTTTTTAAAAAGATTTATTTATTTATGCATACAAGAACTGGGATACAGGCCAGAGGTGTGTGTGTGGGGGAGGGTGAGAGGATTCACCAGAGACAGAGTGGGGAACAGAGCAGGCAGATTGACTGAAATACACTGCTGAAGGGAGGAGGGGGCGAGTCAGGAGAGGTCTGCTGCGCCATGTGGGTAGCTCTTTGGCTGGGGATGGAACTTGTGCTACAGTGGCTGCCGACAGCTTTATAGGTTGCTTCTTAACCCCTTGCGCCACCAGGGAGGTCCTCAAAACACTGATTTTAAATATGAGAATTGCTCACTACTTTCACATGTTGGCTAGCCAGTTGACTAGAGCTACCAAATTTACTCTGAGAGATATGAGAACAAAATAAAAAAACTTTATTTGGTAGAATGAATCCTTACTCTAAGATTCTGGAAATTTGGTTAAGGAAAATTTAGCTAGCTAAAGCAGCTCCATATTAATATGGCACAAGTATATGATGCATTTCAACTAGGAATTTACTAGAGGGTAAATATATAAACTATTATCAAATACAATTATGGTTTCTGATCATTTTGTAATGATATTCTTAGAAAATTCAAAGCTTTCCCATTCCCCACCCTCTCAAATTTCCTTTTAGTTAAGATTTTAAGTTAGTCCATGGATTAATATTTTTGGTCAAAGACAATTATTTTGTTAATAAAGAGTTTCTGTACTAAACAGAGACGTTAACATAGAATATTTGCTAAGTCTATTTCCTGGTATAAAATAGAAAATAATTCAAGTAGAAATTTTTTTTTAAAAAGATAAAATCATTGAATTCTGTCATAAAACTGAATGTCTACTATATAATAGGCTCTATTTTAACCACTTACAAAACAGTAGTAAATAGAACATTAAGAGGTTCAAAATGCAGTTTACATTTAGGTCTAGAAACTGATAAAAGACAAATAGTAGAGGGAAAAATAACCCCAGGTGATATGATAGAAGGTAGACAGTAAATTAGATTGTTTGGGAAGGTTTTTCTGAGAAATTGATGTTTAAATTCAACAAATACAAATCAGATATACAGTGAAAATAAGAAAAGACTATCAGGAGTTTCCTGGAAGCAAACCAAACCACATTTATGGGGGGTAGAGAGGGAATAAAATGAAGGGAGCCAAAGACGAAGCCACATGTAGGAAAAGACATCTATAAAAGTAGTAGTTAGAACTTCAAGCCATAGTCAGTGGACACACACAGCTGAAGAGGGATGCATTCAGACATGTATGAAGATGATTAATGGCTAAGCTGCATGTGTAACAACTGGGCCAATCAGGTCCTCATCCCCAACTCCTACTTGCAATAAGCAGCATCAAAAGAGGCATGTAGACTAAAACAGTAAGGATGTGTTGTATTTGGCTGTAGAGCAGTGCTACTTCTCAGGTGGGTAGGTGCTGATTCTAGCAAGATAAGAAAGGCCAGAAGACCAACACCAGCATCCTTGCCCCACAGCAGCTTTTTCTGTACCTCCTTCACAACCATAGGCAGTAAACTACTGAACAACGAAGCAGGTCAATGAACTATAAAACTGAAAGATTAGCAAATGACCAAAAAACAGAAACAAAAATGACCACACAGATGGATGAGGGAAATCAACACTCTGACAGAGATACACATATAAGAAAGAGAGTAACATTTGAAGCAATCAAGGCAGAGGTGACATGTCTATTGATACTGATCTGCATGAGGTACCACAGAAATCCCAGAGAATTAAAATTTTGCAGGAGCTTCTATCTTTACGTATATGTTTAAATATACAAAGCATATTGCTATTACTTGTTCATTTCTGGACAAATTTTAGCACAGCATATGTAGGGGAAGTATACCACTCCCAGGCACACATACTGTTGTAACGCCACTGGTGTTAGGGTGTAGGCCAGAAGTGCAGGGTTGTGAGAGGATTCACCAGAGACAGAGTGGGGAGCAGAACAGTCAGACTGACTGAAATAAACTGCTGAGGGGAACAGTGGGCGAGGCAGGAGAGGTCTGCTGCACCATTTGGGTTAGCAACCTGGCTGGGCCGGGATCGAACTTGGGCGGTGCTGCAGTGGCTGTGGATAGCTTCATAGTCCTGCAACTTAACCCCTTGTGCTACCAGGGAGGCCCTACACTTAGGAATTTTAATATCTGTCCAAAAAAAAAATTTTTGAAACAGAAAAGAATGAATGTTGAGGTAAAAATTACCGTTGAGAACATCCCATATTTGAAAGGATCCACTAAATGCTGAGCAGGATGGAAGAAAACAGACAATACCTAAATACCATCAGTAAAATAAAAGTACCTGAAGGTTTCAGAAAGTCCTAAGAGTTTCTATGGAGCATAGTGAAGACTGGGAATCAGATGGACATCAAGATTCTTACCAGCAATAAGAGAAACTAGTGAACACCAGAGTAGTATCTTCAATGTTCTGAGGGAAAATGATTTAAACCCAATCTAGCTATCATTCAAGAATAGGGCTTAAAGTACTTTTTTTTAACTATCCAAGACTTAGAAAATTTATCAGCCATAAAGCCTAACTGAAATAATTCAATGAGGAAGAACTGCAAAAGAAATAATGAATACAGGAAAAAGACAAATATGTTATTTAAGAAATAGTGCTAGGCAAAGAAATTAGAAAAACTGATGAGTACATATAGAAAATCAGAACATAATATAAAAAAGGTAAAATAAACATGAGAATCTAATATTAAAATTCCGGTGACTTAGGGAGGTGCTAGCAAAAGAACTGAAAGCATGTTACTGTTTTTTCTCAGCTTGTAGACATTGACTGTAGACATTAAGATAAACACAGATGTGTATATCTGCCAATGATTTAAAAACAGAAAAAGAATACACAAATTCTCTTACTAGACAGAACACAGTGCACTTGATTATTCCGAAAAGGTATTCCAGTAAAGTCAACTAAACAGGAAACACAAGGAAGTAATCACAATAAATGTGAACACATTAAATTTCCTTATTAAATAACTGGAACCCAGTTTCAATTAAAATCATTATTTCCTCAAAGTAAGTTAAACAGAATTTCCAAGTGATTCAACAATTCCATTCCTTGTATATACCTTTGAGAATTAAAAATATATGTTCATACAAAAAGTTGTAATGAATGAAAGTTCACAGCAGCATTAGTCATAATAGTCAAAAAGTGGAAACAGCTGATGAATATCCATCAGCTGATGAATGAATGTGATATCTATCCATACAATGAGATATTATTCAGCCATAAAAGTACCAATACATGATCAAGGATGAATTTTGAAAACATTATGCTAAGTGAAAGAAGCCAGCTAAGTGAAAGGTTATATACTGCAGTTCCCAATTTACATCAAATGTTCATAGAAACAGCAAGATTAGTAGCTGCCAGGTGCTAGAAGAATGGAGAAATAGGGAGTGACGTAGTAGATACAGGGTTTCTTTTTTTGAGTGATGAAAACTTACTGGAATTAGTGATAATTGTACAACTTCATGAATATAATGAAAATCAAGAATTTATATACTTTAAAAGAGTGAACTTAATGATATGTGAATTGTATCTCCATCAAGAAAAACTACCATCTCAAGAAAAATAGAAGTCTAGTTACATATGACCCCAGGGGACACAGCTGAAATTAAATAACTGTCACTCCATTTGTTGATAATAGTGTTAGAGGTTGAGCAATTACATTCCTCAGAAAACAAGTGTAAAACTAGGCAAATTAATAAAAGTAGTCACTTCAGGGCACTGGAAACCAAAGGTAGGTAAAAATATGAGACAGGCTTACTCATGAAAAACTGCTACAGTTCTACAGCATAGGGTAATAACTGAGCTTTTGGTCTTCCTGGGATGTTTCCATCTCCGCTAGTTCTGAGGGTCAAACTTCAAAGTTTTGTTGACAGAAGCTACAGATTTGGTTTCAGGGTGAGATTTCAGACATAAAAGAGCTATAGAAAGATCAAGATAAGGGGACCTTGGGCCTCCCCTGGTGGTGCAGCGGTTGAGCGCTGGGCTGCGAAGCTGCCCGCAGCTTCTGCAGCACCAGTTCGATTCCCGGCTGCCAGCGAGGGTCCCACATGGCGCGACAGACCTCTCCTGCCGTGCCCGCTGCTCCCCTCAGCAGTGTATTTCTTCATCAGTCTGCCTGTTCTGTTCCCCACTCTGGCTCTGGTGAATTCTCTCACCCTCCCGCGCTTCTGACTGTACCCAGTGCTTGTATAAATAAATAAATAAATCTTCAAAAAAAATTAAAAAAAAAAAAAAAAGATAAGGGGACCTCCCCTGGTGGCGCAGCGGTTGAACGCTGGGCTGTGAAGCTGCCGGCACCTCTCCTCTGCAGCGCAGGTTCGATCCCCGCCACCGGCAAGTGTTCCCACATGGCACGCAGACCTCTCCTGCTGCGCCTGCTGCTCCATTCAGCAGTGTACTTCATCCATCTGCCTGTTCTGTTCCGTGTTCTGGCTCTGGTGAATTCTCTCACCCTCCTGCGCTCTGCCTGTATCCAGTGCTTGTATAAAATA